TCTGTTATATATCCATTTGCATATACAGAATCATACAAACTTCCAGGTATGCACACACAAGGATGACACCCACTAAATCATATGTCTCCATATGTGCAGACATGCCTATACCAAATCAGGTAAATATATACCCAGAAACATGCATTCAGAATAGAGGGAGGAATTGTCTTGAAGAGAAAGATCTTCGTTATTAGCACAATGATCAAGTGTTTGATGAAGAGTAGACCCCACCCTGTCACATCAGGGCCCCCTACTCAACTGCTTTTTGCATGACCTCTCAGAGCCTCCCCCACTTTCTCTATAGTCTGTCAGGCTTCTTGCCCGCATCTGCTTTCTCTAGCATCTCTCAGAATTCCCACTCCCCTCTTTAGCTCTCTCAGGGTGTGAAGAACAGAGAACAGTACCTGGATAAGGGATAGATTGTTGTTGTTGTTGTTAAGTGCCGTCGAGTCGGTTCCGACCCATAGCGACCCTGTACAGGGTTTCCGAGGGTGTAAATCTTTACGGGAGTAGAAAGCCTCATCTTTCTCCCGCGGAGCGGCTGATAGTTTCAAACCGCTGACCTTAAGGTTCACAGTCCGATTCGTAACCACTGAGCTACCAGAGCTCCTTCCACTACGCTACCAGATATAGGGGTCTAATTTGAGTTTTGCCTCTGACAAGACCCCTCAGTGTACTATTGAGAAAACCTGAATGCTGCTGAGAAGCTCATCCCTAGTGTCTCCATCTTTAAAAAGAGGCTGGTGAATTACATCGGAGCTCCCCAAACTTTCCCCTTCCAAAGACTCCTTTGCCACTTCCCACCCCCCATGAATCTCATGCTTTAAAAAAATTTTCCCTAATAAATGACCTAATTTTCTACTTTAAAATTTCATCAGAGACTTAACTAACTCAGTGAGCAATGAGGGAGCCATAGCTAGTAATGGTAGAATTTCCATGTAAATTTTGGAAAGGTAGTGGTGGTGGTGTTCCGTAGATTCGGGCTGACTCATAGTAACCTGGTACAGGGTTTCTGAGGCAGTAAATCTTTACCGGAGCGAAAAACCTCATCTTTCTCCTGTGGAGTGGCTGGTAGATTCAAACTGCTGATCTTGCAGTTAGCAGCCCAATGCTGAACCACTACTCTGCCAGGAAATACAGTATTACGTACAACATTAAATACCGTATTAAAATATTCCGAAGGCATCCGACACTATTTTGTTTTGGGAGAATGCAAACTCTACGTTGGGAATTGCACAAATAATTTATATTATAAAAGTCAACACAAGGCTGGTCCCTTTGAGTTGGGAACTAGTGAATCAGGTCAGGTGATGGGCTCAAAGTCCTCTGAACTGGAGATCAGACTTCATGAGCCAGATGCAAGATCCAGGGAAGAGAGCAAGCTTTTCCAAAGCAGTCTTATAAATTGGAGTCAGACCATGCCTCAAGGGAAACTAAAGATGGTAAGGTAGGAGCATTCTTAATACTTAGGTTCATTGCAACCTTTACTCCATGGCTCCATCTTAATCTTTGCTCCTTAGTAACTCATTTCAAAATGAGTCCATAACCGTAGGCATAGAGGCTGGGATTTACAATACATCACAAAATGGAGAAATTTGGCTAGAAGGGCCATAATAAAGAATTAGCTACCCTGCAGGGACCATCAACCAAAACAATGTCTGATGATGGAAAGACTTGGGAGATGGATATGGGTGCTGGTTGAACAATAAGATTAGTGTCATGAACTAACTATATGAAATTGATGAAATGGCAAATGTTTTGTTACCTATATATTTACCATAAAAGAAATTCCCTTAAAAAATGATAGTCTTTGGCATTATCCAATTCTGGAGGCTCTGGTTGCTGCCAAGTCATTCACTCTAATGCTTCTAGCAGTTGCAAGGCTACAGGAACATGAAATAAGACATAGAGAAAGCAGTAGAGTCACAGTTCCTCTTGGTTTAATTGAACACAGCCTGACTTTTTCTCACTCTTCTTAGGGATGTGAGGTCTTTTCTGGTGGATCCAAATTCCTCCTGTCCAGGCTCTAGGTGCTGTCTGCAGACTCTCTTGGATCCCAATCCAAGACCTTGTGGCTACTTTCCCCTGAGTACCTGAGCCCAGCTTGTACCAGGTATCACCTTCCAGCCCTTTGATCTTCAGCCCGGATTCCTTCAGTCCCTTCTAATGGCCTCTCCTCTCCTCTGAAGACCTCCCACAGACTCTTGCTCTTGACCTAGTTCTTCCCTTCTCTCAACCCCAAACTTTTCCAATTGTTGTCTTGCCCTTTTCCAAAACCTCCCAGAATGTTACACCTGGGAGACACTTTATTCATCTAAGTCTACAATTCATTTAATGCTGGTATTCACTCGACCAAACCAACCTGTGGTTTTCTAATACCACAAACCACAGGACGCTTACTACCTCACTAGTCAGCTCAGCTCATCTTAGGTTGCTTTCAGGTGGCTATCAGTCCTTTCCTGGAGGCATTTGTTGCTAATTAGCTCCTGGCCAAAATAAAATTAGCCAGTTAGAAAACCATTTGCAGCCACAGAGAGGTGGATGAAGGCCTCAAATGTCCTCCACAAAAGACTCTCTTTTAAAAAAAAAGACTCTCTTAACTGTGGGGGAAGAGTTGGTATGTACTGTTTCTCTTCAAGTCTTAATCTCTTTTTTTCCTCTTCAAGTCTCTTGGTTTGGCTTAAAATTCCAAGTAATTTGACATTTGCTGTATAATACATCTATATTTGTTTAACTATATGAAGAAAGCCAGGCACTATGGAAAGACGTATACCCATGACATTTTTAGCCATGGAGGGTTATGAATATGTCAGTTTAAGAAACGTGATCGTAAAGCAAAGGGGGGTTTGTTGTTAGTCCCTCGAGTTGGTTCTGACTCATAGTGACCCTGTATAGGATTTCTGAGGAGAGGCTGGTGAGTTTGAACAGCCACCGACATTTCAGTTAGCTTATCCTACAGTGCCATATCAGGACTTCAAACTAACGTTAATGTAAGATTATGAGAAGGGACTGATGATACCCATTTGATGATGAGGAAAAGTGAAGCTTTGTAAGAATGATTTCAGTAAAGTCACACATTGTTAGAACCAGGATTTGAACTTAGGTCTCTCTGACTCCAGAGCCTGTGCTTCAACTCTTCCTAACCAGAAACTTCCATTGCTCTCATTGCCACCTGGTCCCAGTATGTTATTATTGTTGTTAATTGCCTTCGAGTTGGTTCTGACTCACAGCAACCCTATACAGGGTTTCCGAGGAGCTGCTGGTGGGCTTGAACTGCCAACCATTTGGCTCATAGTACAGTGCTGATCCTACAGTGCCACGGCAGGAGTCCTGGTCCCAGTATGTTGTTGTTGTTAAGTGCCCGTCTAGTCGGTTACGACACATAGCAACCCTGAACAGGGTTTCTGAGGCTGTAAATCTTTACGGGAGCAGAAAGCCTCATCTTTACGGGAGCAGAAAGCCTTATCAAGTATAGGCCTTGGTTTATTTTTCTAAAATCAGAGGTTAGACTAGTTGTTTGTAAGACTTTTTGCATATAAAAGAACTGGTGCGTTAACCCTCCTCATACCCTTCAAAATTTATTAACAACTACTGGGTGCTGTGGCCATTCAGACAAATAAAGCACAGTTTCTGCTCTTAATGAACTCTGAGAGGAGACTGGGGATAGTGGGACTCATACATATATATCAGTAATCACGGTAGTCATTGCTGAACTTGATGATTGAGGCCTGAATAGAATATTGTAGGAACCAGGGCTGAGAGGGCAGTAAAGATGTTCGGGAAGACTTCACAAAGGAGGTAATGTTTGAGCTAAACCTTAAAGATTCAATTATAGGTTTGCAGATGAACAAAAAAAGAGTATTTCAAGGCAGCATGTGCAAAGTCATGGAGTTAAGAATGTAGTGTAGGGTGTTTAGGAAAGGCAAATGTGGTTCAGACACAGGGTGTGTGTGTGAGTGTGTGTGGATGTTGATGTGTGTATGGACATTTATGGATGTGTGTGTAGCAGAATCATCAGAGGAGAAAGATTTGCTCTGGATATTAAAGGGTCCTGAGCGTCATGGTAAATTAGACTCTATCTGGAGACTAGTACTTTCCACGTAGTTCTGAGGGAAAGAAGTGCCTCAGGGAATCCTGGGGGCTTCACAGGGAGGGCCCACTCTGCTTCCAACAGAACTCCATTTTTATCTACTTTGTATATATATATATGGGTTTCTGCTCAATTTCATCTGATGAAGAGGTTGCTGCTATGAGGAAAGAAAAAGTTATGGCCCACAGGGTCACTGTAGGGTTTATGTTGGGGAGAGGAAACATGGTTGCAAGAAACTCTCTAAAAGAGGCCTGTATATGGGATTGTTGTTGTTAAGTGCCAACGAGTTGGTTCTGACTCTTAGTGACCCTGTATAGGGTTTCCTAGGAGCAGCTGGTGAGCTTGAACCTCTGATGTTGTGGTTCAAAATAGACTTTGCATTCCAGCACATTAACTCACAGTACCACACCAGTTGGGGGAGTCCTAACAGTATGAATTTTGGGGACAGGAGTCTCTTACCTAGTATAGTAGGCTGGAGAGGGATTGTAATTAAGAGGTGGGGCATACATACCTTTCTGGTAGGAGAGCGTCTGATAAAAATTTAGGTCTCCCCCAAGACTTGGGTGTGTGATCTCTGGGAGTCCCCCAACAAAAGGGACTGGCAAAGGACGAGGGAGGGGGAGAGGCAGGAAGTGGGCAACTAGACTAACAAAGGTGCCTGTGGCGGTTTGCCCATCCCAGGTGGGAGGGCGGGGTCTAGGACCTTATGTGACTTTATTTGTGTCTCTGGGGCTCAGAGGGAGCATGGATCAAGAGTTAGGACCCACCATTTCAGATTTTCTGCCGCTGGTGAATGGAGGGTGGTAGGCCGACAACCGCAGGTACTTTTAGAAATTAAATTCCCAGACCAGGGCTGATATTGGGGGTGCAGGTCTCAGGGGAGTCCCTTCAGCACTCTTTCATTCCCCAGGGACCATGGGCTGTAGCTGCAGCTCGAATCCTGAAGATGACTGGATGGAAAACATCGATGTGTGTGAGAATTGTCATTACCCCATAGTCCCTCTGGATGGTAAAGCCACGGTAAGATGCCAGACAAGGGAGTTGGTGGAGGAGTGCAGGACCCAGGGATACTGTGCAGAAAGAAATTAACGACCACCATAGGGTGTTATTTCAACTTTGAAATAACAAAGTTGACCCTCTCCCCTGGTGTACAGAAAAGAGAGACCCAGATACTCTCCCAAGGTTGCAGAACAAGTAGTTGACAAAGTTAATGCTTTCTAACCCCATCATCTTCCCTCACCTCACAGCTGCCCATTCGGAATGGTTCGGAGGTGCGGGACCCTCTGGTCACCTATGAGGGCTCCATCCCGCCAGCCTCACCACTGCAAGGTAAAGAACTAGTAGGGCCTGCCAGATAAGGCCTGCCTGTAAGTGCTGGCTGCCAGCCTCCAGTCTCCTCCGTATCCTCCACTTTGTTCAGTGCCTCCTGCCCTCAGTCCTGTCTCTAACCCTTTAATTCCGGACTTCCAAGCGCCTAGGCTACTTCAGGCCTGTTTTCCCTTTTGCCCCCTCTTGTCTTTACAGACAACCTGGTTATCGCCCTCTATAGTTATGAGCCGTCTCATGATGGAGATCTGGGCTTCGAGAAGGGGGAACAGCTTCGCATCTTGGAGCAGTTGAGTGCCTTCTCCACACCACACAACCTGTCCTGGCAGGGTCGGAGGGAGGGGGCAATCCTGAGCTGGCTCCCTCATGCCTGGAGCTACCTGATATCCCCAGCTACACCCTGAGCGCCTGGCCCTTTAGGCAAATGGGAAGCTCTAGAGCACTGAGCTGGGGGCGGACCACCTGGTGGAACTGGAAACTCAAAGGGAGGGTGTCCTGCTCAGACGATGGCTGAGCAGGGCACGCTGAAGACTGCTGTGGTTCAGGAACGGCGAGTGGTGGAAAGCGCAGTCCCTGACCACAGGCCAGGAAGGCTTCATCCCCTTCAACTTCGTGGCCAAAGCAAACAGCCTGGAACCCGAACCGTGAGTGGAGGACTCATCGTATGGGAGGGCAGGAACACATCTAGGGAGGTCATAGCAAGGGAGGGGTGCTGTGTGGTTAATGCTTGAGAGGGATGGAAGAAGAACAGAGCAACAGACGACGGCCGTCACTCTGCCCTGCTCAGCTGGTTCTTCAAGACTCTGAGCCGTAAGGACGCTGAGCGGCAGCTATTGGCGCCTGGGAACACACACGGGTCCTTCCTGATCCGGGAGAGCGAGAGCACCGCGGGTGAGCGGCTGGGCGGGGCCACGGACGGGGGCGGGGCTGTGGCCTAGGGCGGTCTCAGTGTGCTTGCTGAGGCTGGGGGAGGGGCTCGGTGGGTGTTGTCAAGGGGCTGAGGCGAAGCCATGGCGTAGGTGGCCAGAGTAGGCATGCCCCTGGAGGAGGTGGGGAGATGTGTGTTAGGTGGGAGTCTCAGTGGGCGGGGCCGCAAGCCAGGGGGCCTCAATGGGCGTGCCTTGGACTGGGGCATCCAGTGTAGGTGAGGCGGGACCTTGTCCTCTGGAGGAGCCCCAGCAGAAGGGCGTGGTGGAGGGCGCAGCTCCTTAGAGGCTACCTCGCCCTGTTTAGCTTTCCTTAGTTCCTTCTTAAATTCATCCATTCATTCATTCATTCAAGGATCATTTTCACTATCTGTCCGGGACTTCGACCAGAACCAGGGAGAGGTGGTGAAACATTACAAAATCCGTAACCTGGACAAAGGCGGCTTCTACATCTCTCCCCGCATCACTTTTCCTGGCCTGCATGAACTGGTCCGCCATTACACCAGTGAGCCTCTCCAGGAATCCCTCAGACCAGCCCCTAGGCTCCTTAACATGACCCTAGCAGCCTTCTCCCCCCACCCCCCAGTTTCCCCCATTTTTCAATTCACTCCTTCATTCCACTCAGAGGGTGGGATGGTGTCCTAGGATCTACAGCCCCACCCTACACTGGGACTCTATGAAGTAGGGGCTGCGTGGAGGGACCCAAGACACAGCCTACTGACAGTTTTCACCTCTCTCCCGGGTCCCCACAGATGCTTCAGATGGGTTGTGCACACGGTTGAGCCGCCCCTGCCAGACACAGAAACCCCAGAAGCCATGGTGGGAGGACGAGTGGGAGGTTCCTAGGGAAACGCTGAAGCTGGTGGAGCGGCTGGGGGCTGGTCAGTTTGGAGAGGTGTGGATGGGTGAGTAAGACCCTCCAGGACTGCAGGGGAGAGGGGAAGCATTGTAGAAAAATGGTTGTAACATTCCCTTCTCCAGGGCAGCTGTCTGGCTCTCAGTGATTCCCCCAACCCTCCTCCCTCAGGGTTCTACAACGGGCACACAAAAGTGGCGGTGAAGAGCCTGAAGCAGGGTAGCATGTCTCCGGACGCTTTCCTGGCAGAGGCCAATCTCATGAAGCAACTCCAACACCAGCGGCTGGTCCGGCTCTACGCAGTGGTCACTCAGGAGCCCATCTACATCATCACTGAATACATGGAGAATGGTGCGTCTGGGGTCATGCGGTCCTCTGGCCTCCCACCAGGGAGTGTGTCATCTGGGTGCCCAGTCTTGGGTGACAGGTTCTGGAAGAGCATTTATTTCAATTGTCCCTGATTTTTAAAGTCTCCTTTGCCTCCTGTTTTCCTTCTTCAAAGCCCTTCCTTAATCTCACATTTTAATTTCCTGGGACGTGCCAGTCAACAGTAGCTTCGTGCTAGCAACTTCCATTGTGTTCTTCTTCCAGCCACTCTTCACTACTAGAGATGTCCCTCAAGCCTCCAGGCACCTCTCTCCTTCAATACCTTCAGCACAAACTCATTCATTGAGGCTTACTCTGGACTGGGTACTGGATAAGCAAACAGTTTCTACTTTCAGGAGAACCCATGAATTTAGTGATGGGCACTGGACACAAAGCTTGTATCGTTGGAAGGTTCTAGCATGCCATAAGTATGCAGAAGATGATGTAATTTATTATGCCTGGTAGGACTAGAGGGGCATTCTAGCTTGGCCATGAGAGAAAATGGGAATTTTTAGTAGGTTGGAGCCCTATTGACATAGTAGTCTAAATATTGTACGCTAATCACAAGCTTAACAGTTTGAGAACACCAGCCAAAATTTACAGCTTTGGAAATCCTTTGGAGCAATTTCAACTCTGTCCTACAGGGTGGCTGTAAATCAGAATCAACTTGATGGTAGTGAGGTGTTTTTTTTTGTTTTTTTTTTTATTTTAACAAGACGGAACAGAGACTTAGGATGAGAGTTCAGTGATCTGTGTGAAAAATCTCAAAACTGACTATTGTGGATAGAATGAAGGAGGCAGGAGTGGGGGAGAAGAAGAAACAGCTAATGCAGACCATGTAGGACTTTGGATCAATCCCTGGCTGGAGGGATTGAGTTTTACTCCATTGGTGACAAAAAGTCTATAAGAATGAGACAGTTCTACTCTGCACACATAGGATCACGATGAGTTAGTTGAAATCAACTACACAGAAACCAACAACAATCACTTATGAAGACTACTCTTTATGGCCATAAAAGCTTAAAAACAATAATAATTCCTAATGTTGACATATGGGAGTCCTGATGTGACACTGTGGGATAATGCACTGGACTGAAAGCTTAGTTTGAACCACAAAGTCAGCAGATCAAATTCACCAGCTGCTCCTCTAAAATCCTCAGAACCGACTCAGAGGCACTTAACAACAACAACAATATTGACATATGGAGCCCTTGACTACTGTTATGGATTGAATTGTGTCCCCCAAAATATGTATGGTAATCCCTAACCTTTATGCCTGTGATTATAATCCCATTTGGAATGGGTTGTCTTTGTTATTTTAATGAGGAAGAATAAATGTAGGGTGTATTTTAAGTCAATCTCTTTTGAGATATAAAAGAGATTTAACAACCAACTAAGAGAAGCAAAAACGGGGGTACAGAGATGCCAAACCACATGAAAATTACCTAAGAGCAGAAGCTCTGAAGAGACAAGGACCTTCTTCCAGAGTCAACAGAGAAAGAAAGCCTTCCTTTAGAACCTGTACGCTGAATTTGGATTTCTAGGCTCTGACACTGTGAGAAAATAAATTTCTGCTTGTTAAAGCCAAAAAAAAAAAAAAAAAAGCCTATAAAATGCCCCATTCCAACCCTCCAGATATATCCTATCCTGGGCATCCTCACTCTCCTCCATTCCTCCATTCACACCCCCTACTCTTCCTTTTTGGACATGACTTCTTCTAGACTCCTCTTTGGGAGAAGAGTCCGGAGACCATGCCCCTGAAGTTACTTGGGTGAGTTCTGTGAGAGGATCTCTCGTCCCTCTGCCTCCTCTACTCACTACTCATGCTTCTGCCCATAGGGAGTCTGGTGGATTTCCTCAAGACCTCCTCAGGCATCAAGTTGACCATCAATAAACTCTTGGATATGGCAGCCCAGGTAAGGGGATTGGGGAAGGGCTGGGCATGGGCACCAGCCAGTTGAGTGAGGTTGTCTGGCCCAGGACTGCTGACTTATATCTGGCTTGCAGATTGCCGAAGGCATGGCATTCATTGAGGAGCGGAATTATATCCACCGTGACCTGCGGGCTGCCAACATCCTGGTATCTGACACCCTGAGCTGCAAGATCGCAGACTTTGGTCTAGCACGTCTCATTGAGGACAACGAATACACAGCCAGGGAGGGTAGGTGTGGAGTCTGAGAGGTCTGGGGCCTGGTAGGTTCTAGTCAAACAGACCCAGGTGACCTAATTTTACCTCCCTCCAGGGGCCAAGTTTCCCATCAAGTGGACAGCACCAGAAGCCATTAACTATGGAACATTCACCATCAAATCGGATGTGTGGTCTTTTGGGATTCTGCTGACAGAGATCGTTACCCATGGCCGTATCCCCTACCCAGGTCAGGACCAAAGGCAGGAAGTGGAAAGGATGATGGGCAAGGGAGTCAATCCATGTCTTTCCACTCACTTATTTCCAGGCTCAGAGTATGAAACTTCCATCCTCTCAGGGGTGTGACTCCAGCATCCTAAAACAGATGCCACACCTCCCAGAGCTGGTTTCCATCTCTGTCTCTAGATGTTTCCATCTTCAGTGTTTCCAGCTCTTTTCTTTTGTTCTGGTACAGCAGCCTAGTATGGTAGTAGATCTCGCCTGCGAAGCAAGAGATCTGCCTTTTATTACTAAAGCTACTAAAGCTACTATTGATGCTAACTTCTGTTTGGCTTTAAACACATCCTTCCTTTTTCCTATTATGTGCTAACTACCAGCTGTTCTGCGGGAGAAAGATGAGGCTTTCTGCTCCCGTAAAGATTTACAGCCTCAGAAACCCTGTACAGGGTCGCTGTTGAGTTGGAACCGACTCCATTGTTGTTGGAACCAACAACAATATGACTTTAAGCAAGTAACTTCACCTCTTTGAGCCTCAGTTTCCTCATACGAAAAAAGAGAAAGTATCTATGAAAGAGCCTGACTCATAGATTTTAATTCATGGTGACCCTATGTGTATCAGAGAAGAACTATACTTCATAGGGTTTTCAGTGACTGATTTTTCAGAAGAAGATCACCAGGACTTTCTTCTGAGGCATTTCTGGGTGAACTCAACTTCCAACCTTTTTTTTTTTTTTTTGATTAGCAGTTGAGTGCTTTAACCATGTCTATCCCCCAGGGACTCCTGACTCAGTAGTTCTTCACTAAACACTGACTTCTCTTCCTTCTGTATCTTCCCATCTAAAGGGAAGAAACAAACAAATCTGTTACAGCTGAGTTGATTCTAACTCGTTGTTGTTGTTAGGTGCCATTGAGTCAGTACTGACTCATAGCAACCCTATGCACAACAGAACGAAACACTGCCCTGTCCTGGGCTAACCTCATGATTGTTGCCATGCTTGAGCCCATTGATGCTGCCATATTGCCAGTTTATGTGCTAACTCATAGTGACCCTTATAGAACAGAATAGATCTATCCCATAGGATTTCCTATAATATTTACAGAAGTAGACTGCCACATCTTTCTCCCATAGAGAGCCAAGCATGTAACTACTACAGCACCAGGGCTCCTTATAGAGGGAGAGACTTGTAAACACCTAATTCTTATCCTGTCTCGCCCACTCTTTAGCTCCTGGACAAAGCTAGAGATGAAACATTTTTTTAAAAAAGGAACTTGGTAGAAAACTCTGGGGAAAGGAAACAGAACACAAAGACAGCAGTAAGGAGTTAGCAGAGCATAGTGACCAGAGGGACAGAAAGTTGCAACATTCCCAGAGCATTGAGCAGACTTTCCTCTTAGGAAGCTAGGGACACCTTAGAATCAGGTGAGAGGCCTGAGGCCTTTCCTGTCCTGGACTTGCCCAGTGTCCCATCGAGTCCAGGTGCAGTGCTGGGATTGGAACCACACTCAGCCATCGTGCCAAGGACCTTTTCTGTTCCTCCATTGTGCCACAGAGGCTAACCCCTAGAGAATGTCTCTCTTAGAAGAAAAAAGGTAGTGAAAGCAGAAAGATAAATGGCAACTGACAAGTGGATTCAGTGGGAGACAAAGAAGAGTAATGCCGACCTTGGTGAACTTGCATCTTCTCTTGCAGGTGGTTTCCATTAAGGCACGGTTGGTTGGTTGGTTATGTGCCGTGGAGTCAGTTCTGACTCATAGCGACCCTGTACAGGGTTTCCGAGGCTGTAGATCTTCACGGGAGCAGAAAGCCTCATCTTTCACCCGTGGAACAGCTGGTAGTTTTGAACTGCTGACCTTGCGGTTTGCAGCCCAATTCGTAACCACAACGCTACCAAAGCTCCTTATTAAGGCACGGGGGAGGCCTAAAAAACATACCTGTTTTTTCAGAAGAAGCCAAAATGCAGAGTTTTAGAAAAATGTGCCCATTTCTAAAAACTGGTGATGGACTCAAATAGTTAAAAAAAACACTAGATGGACCAAACCAAAGTAGGGGTTGGCCTATGGGCCAACAGTTTGCATCCTTGATTGCAGCCAGATGTGTTTGATTTCTGGTCTCTGTCCTCCAAATGTTCTGGCTCTGAAGTATGAGGGACTCATAGCTAGAGGCCTCCCAGGGGCAGAGTCTAGAGACTCAGGGGTCTTTGTTGACCAGGGTCTAGTTCCAAGCTTTGCAGAAGCCAACTTCTATTTTACCAGGGCCATAGAAGAGTGTAAGGAACTCTGGCGGTACTGTGTATAAGTGTTGGTAATGCTAACTGCAAAGTAGGTTGTTCAAACTCACCAGGCACTCCATGGGAGAAAGGTGAGGCTGTCTGCTCCCTATATAGTATTGCTATGAATTGGAATCGATTCATTGGCAGTGGGTTTGATTTTGGGTTGTAGAAAGGTTTAATCTTTGGGGACTGCCTATCACTGTCCTCTTAAGAGACTTCAGGAGAAACTGGAGACCAACTGGATGATTTAGAAAAAGGAGGCTGTGTTTTTTCTGTGACCAGGGCCCTCTCCATTGCAGCTCCTCTTGTAGTCTGTATTCTAGAAGCCAGCACAAAGGGAGGGAACCAGCCCAATGACGATTTCATTTTGGTCATTGAGGGACTTGGTAAACTTTCTCTTTCCCTTGTGGGGTCTACTTTGCTGGAGCTCAGGATCCACCTGGCTTCTTGATACAACATCTGATGTGCCTGGTCTCAAAGCTGGAGATACCCATCCCTGTCCAGGCTAGGGACTCCACTCCTGCCCTGAACCCTGACCATCCCATCCTTCCCCATCAAATAATAATAATTATAGCTACCTTTTATGAAGCATCTCCTATCCAGGTCCTATTCTTAGTGCTTTGTATACATTATCTCATTTAATCCTCATAACAACCGTGGGAGCTGGGAAATACTATTTACTTTATTTTCCACGTGAGGAAACTGAGGCTGAAAGAGGTGAAACAACTTGCCCAAGGTCACACAGCTAACATGGTGTTACTGAATGTCTAAGCTATACCAGGCATTCAAAGTGGCATTTTGGATTGGTACTCACACCATGTCAGTTGTTACCCATTCTGAATATTTTCCCTGCCTGTGAGGTTCCCAACCTGGAGCCTTGATGTCATTTCTCCTATTATCCTCTAGGGATGACCAATCCTGAGGTGATTCAGAACCTGGAGCGAGGCTACCGTATGGTCCAACCTGACAACTGTCCTGAGGAGCTGTATGACCTCATGATGTTGTGCTGGAAAGAGCGTCCAGAGGATCGGCCTACTTTTGACTACCTGCGCAGTGTTCTGGAGGACTTCTTCACAGCCACAGAGGGCCAGTACCAGCCTCAACCCTAAGGGGCCTAGTGGTCCAGGGGTGCCTGGAATCCTCCCTGCAGCTAGCCACCTGTGTGCCTCTCAGCCGACTTGGGGAGGTGGACGTCTAGTGCTCTACCCACATGATCTATGCCATAAGGACTCAGCACACAAAGCCATCTTGTGTTCTGTTCTCATCCTGTACTTGTGTGAGCTCCTCACATGCATTTTGTACATGTGTGGCCTGTGCATGTATATTTTAGACACCTGTCCAAGGTGTCTCTTTTGGGTTCTCCTACTTTTTGAGACCATGAGAGAGAGGACATAGGCAGGTAACCAACACCAGCTTCTGGCCAAACTCCCTTTTCTTTCCCCAGATTATCAAGAAACTCCTAGAAAGTCGGGAGAGTCTCTAATACCTCTCTGTGCTCCTTGGTGCCTGGCACACATCAGGAGCTCAATAAATGTCTATTTGTTGATGAACGTTGTACTTCTCTCTGCTCCCTACTCCCATCTTCTCATCTTGAGGGTAGGGAATTGGAGTTCAGAAAATGGAAACTGGGTCATTTGAATTAGTGACAACCTGAGGGAATGTCTCAACTTTCCCCTGCCCTGGTAATGCTTGGGACCAAGGGGGAGGTCCCAATGCTATGCTCTATGGACTTTACAAAGTTCTTCAAATGGGACAGTATTCATCACCTCTACTTCAAAGAATTAACTTCAGTTTACACCTGGAGTCACCTCCAGAGTGAATGTCTCACAGGATCCTCTTCCTCCCAAGCCATAGCATTTTTGGTTTCTTTTTTTTTTTACAACTAATCATTTAAGAATGATTAGTCCTTAAGGCCAACAGTTCGAAACTACCAGCCGCTCCGTGGGGGAAAGATGAGGCGTTCTGCTCCCGTAAAGATTTACAGCCTCAGAAACCCTGTTACAGGGTCGCTATGGGTCGGAACCAACTCGACAGCACTTAACAACAACAACAACAATCATTTAAAGGCTGTGTTTGTTTTGATTCAAGTATGTTTGTTTTCATTCACCTTTGAGATGTTTTTAAAGCTTGAGTTCATTCATTTAACAAGCATTTATTGAATCGCTACTGTTCTAGGTTCATAGGGTACAGAGTTGATAAGACACATACACACAAGTCTCTACCTTTGTGAGCTTACATTCTAGTAGGGGAAGACAGACAAAAAACAAACGTCATAAAGAACTCTTGGTATAGTGTTGTAGGATCAGCACTGGACTGCTAACCACAAGGTCAGTGGTTAAAACTCACCAGCTGCTCCTCAGAAACCCTATACAGGGTTGCTATAGGCCAGAACTGACTCAACAGTATTTAACAACAATCATAAAGAAATAAATTGTATGCTACAAGGTGATGAGTTCTTATTATGTGCCACTGAGTCGGTTCTAACCCATAGCAACCCTGTATAGAGTTTCTGAGGAACAGCTGATGAGTTTGAACCACCAACCTTGTAGTTCAACTGAACTTGCAGTCCTGTGCTTATCTTACAGTGCCACACCAGGACTCCAAAGTGATGAGTGCTAGAGGATATAGAAAGAGCAGATTCGGGAGATTAGAATGCCCGACTTGGGGCAAGGTTTGGTATTTAAAAGAAGGTGGTCAGAGAAGGTCTCATTGAGAAGATGACATTTCAGCAAAGATTTGAAGGCGGTGGGGGAGTGAGTCACAAGCAATAGGGAAGGGAGCATCTGCTAGAGGGAATCGCCTGAGGCAGGTACTTGTCTGGCCTGTTCAGAGAGATAACAGTAGCCAGAAAGTTAGTTCCTAGGACCTGGGGCCTTGTATCCTTTGCGGGAGCCATTTTGAGAGGCTTTGCCAGGACTTGTGCAGCGCTGTGAAATGATCTGACTTATATTTTTAAAAGGAGCTTTTATGGTGCAACAGTTAAGAGTAGGGCAGCTATCCAAAACATTGGTGGCTCCAAACCACCCAACCATCCAACCATTCTGTAGAAGAAAAAGCCAGTGTTGTACTCATGTTAAGATTGTTGTTGTTTTTGTTTAAGTACTGTGGAGGAGTCAGCTTCAACTCATAGTGACCATTTATAGGGTTTTCAAGGCTGTAAATCTTTGCAGGATCAGAAAGCCCCATCTTTCTGCCACAGAGTGCCTGGTGGGCTTGAAGAACCGAACTTGTGGTTTGGAGTCTCTTCTTTTTTTTCTTTTTTTTTTTTTAATTTTTATTGTGAATTGAGAGATTGTTTACATGGGGGAATATCAGTTTGTTTCATTGCAATGATTACAATCCCCTGCATGCTTCATCGTTCAACAGTATTTGCTTCTACTCCCTTTGTTGTTTTTTTGGATGAGTACCAAAACGCTCAGGAATATAAAATCATTCAAACAGCCAAAGGGCACACTCTGCCCCCCAACCCTGGCTGCTCAGTCTCTCCATGTCATCATCATCTCTGCCCCCCACCTCTGGTGTCGCTGCTTCTCTGGGTAGGGTCCCACACTCCATTCCCAATCTTATCCCTTGATGGTCCTAGGGTCCTCCACTCCAGGACTGTAAGATCAACCACTCACCCCTTTTTGCTACAAAACTTCTACCTTTACAGTTGTAACAATCACAATTAGTCATGATAACAGTTACTCACTATTGAAGCATAAGAGTCTTATCCCAATCTCCTTTCACCTGACCTGTCTGGTTATGTGCCGTGCAGTTGGTTCTGACTCATAGCAACCCTATACAGGGTTTCCGAGGCTGTAAATCTCTACGGGAGCAGAAAGCCTCATCTTTCTCCTGCGGAACAGCTGGTAGTTTTGAACTGCTGACCTTGTGGTTCTTAGCCCAATTTGTAACCATTATGCTATCAGACCTGTCTAGATAGGATGAAAACCACTCAGTGGGGATTCTACCTTCCCCTGCACACTCTGACTAAACTCCTCTTGAAAACTTGTAAGCCAGTCACTTCGTGCCTTTAAAGCCCCCATTTTAGGTAGTCATGTCTAAATTGCCTATCCCTATCAACTCTGTGTACAGAGGGGATGGGAATGATTCTTGGTGTAAAGATTCGGTCCCTCTTGGTTGGTATTTTAAGCTACTACATCCATAAGTATAGGTCAAGTAGTGATTTACATTTGTTTCCTTTAAAAAAATTTTTTTTCTCCCTCTTTTCCTTCCTCTAGTCAGGTTCTGAACATCCAGCCATTAAAACTAGGTCTAATGGGCACTATCTGCAAGTCTGGACACCCTTGTGCATATCCCCTCACTTCATATCAACTGGACGCTTCACTGTCAGCTCTAGCCCTCCATGGCCATGTCCTTGTCCATGGGCTGAGGAGTCCCCAGGTTTCACCGTACTTTGGGCCAACCAGCTCTCACCATACTCTAGGTTGATGGGGGTCTTAGTAACTTGGTCGGACTCAGCTCATCTCTTCATTGCTGCTTTCCCCCCACTTCCCCTCGCCAGCAAGCTTACATGCCTACTCGTGTATTCCCTTTTGAGTTTCAGTCTTGGAAGGGGGTTTGTCTTGAAGGGGCTTGATTGCTTGACTTAATGGCTCCCTGGTGAACAACTTGCTTGTTCTTGTGGTAGCCAATCTGACTGCTGTTTTGGGTTTTGGTTTTCCCTGCTGGTCTTCTTTCAAGAAATATATTCTGACCCTCTAGCTGCCCCAGGCTGGTCTGCTTGTCTTTTCAAGTGGGAATTTCCCATCTCAGAAGGTTCTGGATGGACCATTGTTTATTCTTGAGACCCACCAAGTTCATGTTAAGTAAGATTGTTGTTGTGTGCCTTCAAGTTGGTACCGATCCATAGCAGCCCTGTATAGGATTTCCGAGGAGCGGCTGTTAAGTTTGAACTGCCAACCTTGCAGTTCAAACCAATTTTGCAGTCCAGCGCATTAACCCACAGTACCACACCAGGACTGCAAGGAAGATTGGTGGTGGTATACTGTGGAGTAGGTTCTAACTCATAGTGACCCTGTATAGCGTTTCCGAGGCTGTAAATCTTTATAGGAGCAGAAAGCCTCATGTTTCTCCTGCGGAACTGCTGGTAGTTTTGAACTGCTGACCTTGAGGTTAGCAGCCTGACTTGTAACCACTATGCTACCAGAGCTCCTTCTAAGTAAGATTACAACATAGAAAACCTTGTGGGGCAGTTCTACTTTATCACATGGGTCACTGTGAGTCTGAATTGACTTAGTAGCATGCATTTTCAAAGGATGGTTCTTAAAAAAAATAATAAATAAAAAAGGATGGTTGTTACAGCTGTACTGAGAATTGACTATATTAGCAACCAATTTCTAAATCTGAGGATATTTTGCATAAAACTCCAGATTTCCATTTTTTTTTTGAAAGACCACTTTGAGTCTATCCCCTTTATGTGGTGTGGTACAGTGACTTACTTAATGTGACACTTCTAGGGAGAGTCTATACCTCCCACCAAACCACTGGGTGAAACTATGCAAATAAGGTGTATGGAACCCTAATAAAGGGATTGGTCACTTTTACCATCCCACTAGGTTTTAAACAAGCCATCCCAGAGAATGGGGAAAGGGGGAATCTCATGACAACCAAGAAAGAAAAGCCTGTTTATTCATCCATTCTTCCATTGATTGGCATTTAGCCTGTCTTCGTCTTTTTGCTATTGGGAATAGTGCTATAAAAATGAATCCATTTGCATATGTCTACTCGTGTCCTGGCTCTTATTTCTTGTGGATATATACCAAGTAGAAGGATTGCTGGGTTGACAGTATGTTTTTTAAAAGGTGGAAGAAAAGCCTATTTCTTATGAAATGAAAAATGGTCTAATTTTTAAGATATGCAAACAAAGAACATCTCAGTCAAAATAATATAAATCCATTCATTTACATCACCTACTTAACCTCTGTTGGTGCAATGGTTAAGCATTTGGCTTCAGACTGATTGGTTGGGGGTTTGAACCTACCCATCTGTTCTACTGCTGAAGACCTAGTGATCTTTTCCAGTAAATATTGCAATCTAGAAAATTCTATGGGTCATATAGGGTCCCTATGAGTTGAAGTCAACTTGATGGCACTAGCAACAACAGCCGAGCTCTATAGGTATCTTG